TTCTAATGAAAAAAAAAACATCAATGTATGTTTTAAGTTACAATCACTTTAGTAAAACCAGCTACTGTAAATACACAAACATGAGTAGTTCTAATACATTTATATAAACAGATTTAGTAAGGTTTTGTTAGTAAAGTTAAGAACGTCAACATTTCTTATTTCTAGTTCATTTAGTGTGGTTGCGAGTACATAATCAAGTTTTTCTTTCCCATAATGGGTACGCGAGAAAGGAACGTGGTATGGTGGGTGATACCTGAAAGGATAAGAAATTGTATTTGCTGGAAGATTTGCAATTTCTTCGAATAGCTGTGTTCTTCCTAATGTGGCATTTTTGTATGTTCTCAGTAATTTATGCTTGTATATGTTGTGAATCTTCACAATTTTATGTTTGTGAAATAAAGCTTCTGTGTGTTCTAGAAATGAGACATTTTCTATTGAACGAAGTGCTTTTTTCTGGACCAAGAATATTTGCTGTAAGTTTGATAATGTTGTGTTTCCCCATATTAGCGTGCAATAATATAAGTGAGAGTTGAAAAGCGCGAAATATAACATTCTTTTAATGCTAACAGGAAAAGTGTGACGGTTTCGGCTTAATACACCGGCTGCTCTACTTAATTTTGGCAATAAGGTTCTCACATGTTCATTCCAGGACATATTTTCTGAAAAAATTACACCAAGAATCTTAATATGTTTCTCGATTTTGATTTGAAATGGCCCAAGAGTTATATAATCATCAATGCTTCTTAAAATGCCCGGGGCACGGAACAACACACATTTAGTTTTCGATTCGTTTAAAGTAAGCCTATTGAACTTGCATCAGATCTGTAAGTAATGACAGAATGTATCACCCTTTCGTGTTATGGTCTCCAAGTCTCTTCCCTCAAGAAGTACCGAGAAATCGTCGGCATATATAATATATTTACAATCCTTATAGATTCTTACAATATCATTAATATAGAAAAGGAAGAGAATCGGTCCTAGTATGCTACCCTGCGGAACCCCATATTCAATAGGCCTAAGGTGTGATTTACATTTATTTAGTTCAACGTATTGGTAGCGCGTTTTCAAATAAGATTTAATAAGTTGTAACACTGTCCCACGTAACCCATAATGTTCTAACTTTTCAAATAAAAATGAGTGGTTTACCCGATCGAAAGCTTTACTAAAATCTAGAAATATACCCAGTGTCATGACCTTATCTTCAAAGTTGTGTAATATTTCCTCTTTTTGAACAAGAAGTGCTGTCTCAGTGCAACGTCCCTTTCTGAAGCCAAATTGGTGATCTGTTAATAGATTGTATTTTGTAATAAATTTCTCAATACGACAATTTATTACTTTCTCGAGTCCCTTTGAAAAGACAGGTAATATTGACACAGGACGATAGTTGCTTAAGCTATTTTTGTCTCCATTCTTGTAAATCACTGAAACTCTAGCCACCTGCATGCTGTCTGGAAAAAGCCCAGTAGAGATAGCAGCGTTATATATGTGTGTAAGCACTGGTGCAATTAAGTCTATAACATATTTGATTGGTTTTATTTCTAAATCATCCACATCACGGCTACGACTGTTCCTAAGCTTCTGATACAGCATTGTCACTTCAGGGACAGATGTTGGCTGCAAGTACATTGTGTGGGATAGTCTCGGGATACGATTAGCAGCTTCGTGACAGTAGGTGCTACTTCCAATTTCAACAAAGAAAGTATTGAAAAGGTTGGCGAGTTCGGCCCCACCAATCGTTTTGTCATTGATGAAGAGGTTGTCGATTGTATAATCCTTGGTATTCTGGTTTAGTAATTCGTTTATTTTTTCCACACTTTGTTACCACTACACAAGCAATCGTTGTCAAATATTCATGTGTGATCCCCGGTTTGTGAACCCTTTTTTGTTTACGGTATGTCCGTAATGGGAACGGCTCTAAATAGGTAATGTTTTTTGAAAATTTTTATAAATAAGTCATAACACTTATTGCTGTCTTCAAGAAGAAATACTTCCCTCCAATCTGTTTTAGAAATCTTATCCCGAAACACCTCTAGCGCTTGAGACGATATATCCCTGTACACGAGCTGAGGCCAATCCCTTTGTTGCAATGAACTGTTACGGTTAAGCATGCAAAATGTAGGTAGGTGATCACTGACGTCACTGTTGATAACGCCAGAGAGAATGCCATCAGTGTTTCGGTTAGTAATGAACTAATCTAGCACAGATGCTGATGAAAGAGTAACGCGTGTAGGTGTTGATATAAGATTTTGAAACCGTTCCTTTGTAATACAAGCAAAAAATCATTCGCCGCACTCAAGCCTTTTGCAATGTCAATGTTCATATCACCGCCTATTGTTAGTAACCATCTGTTTTCACTGGCACATGAAAGCAAAGAATCGAGAAACTTCAAGAACGCCGAGATGTTGCCACTTGGTGGTCTGTACAGAACAGCGAACACATTGCTATTTTTCTTAATACAAATGGCTTCGATATCACAAGTAACAGTGCTAAATTTTGGTAAAATTTCAAAACCTGGTATAGCAACCTGAATAGAAACTCCACCACCCCTACAATTTTTTCTGTTTAGAAAAAAATGATCATAAGACGGTAAAACAAAGTGATCTGAATTTTCATTGTACCAAGTCTCAGTGAACATAAGTGCATCGAAACTAATATTGCAGGATTCTAAAAGGGCGTAGATTTCATCAAATTTACATTGCATGGATCTAATATTTAGATGGAAAACATTAAAAAGCTTCTCTGGGTTGTCAGATATGATACCACGCATGTCCTCAGGTAGCACGTAGTTAGCATCCATGTTTCTACAATCTGGACAATCGAAGTGTTCGCGCAGGGGGCGCGCATCCTTATCCTCTGGCGGTAATCTTGTCCAAATCGCTCTCTCGTTTTATTGCCACGATGGATGAAGTCTCATCGCGACGGGCAAAAATGGCGCCGTTTTTTATACAGACAAACTTCCAGCCATGTTCGCACTTGCGCGCTATTGCCATACCAAGTAGTCTTTTTAGATACTGACAAAGGTGTTCATTTACAAAGATAGGATGATTTGCTTCACTTCTAGAAGCTTCCAGTGATAGACCCAGGCTTCCGCTCATAAGTTTTGTTTTCTTAGCCTTCTCTAGAACCTTGTCTCTCTTTTCGCGCTTCACGAACTGAACAATAATGTTCTTCTTTGTCTTGTCTTTCATTGCCACTCTGTCAATTACATCTATATCGTTTGCGCAGACAGGTTCACTGATGGCCATTCCAATTTGAGCAAGAACATCTCCCAAACACTCATTCGGTGTTTTTGTAACACCTTTGATCTCAAGGTTTTTGTTGAGATTTATCTAAACGCTATTGTTTTTGGAGACAATAGGAAACAAAGAGCTTATCAAAAAGTGAATATTATTGCATTGCTAGACAGTGTAATTAGCAATAAAGACAATGCTGCAAGCAGATTTTAAATCAAAGAACTAGTGATTCTGCAAATGATGAAAGTTCACGAGCTATGTCATGGCTATCACATGCAAGGAAATTCGATAACTGTTAATTTTATATGGCCAGCAAACGAAAATGCTGCTCTCAGCACTTTGTAATACACAGATTGGGCTTTCTGCTAACAAGAAATTATTACTCTAGTTGTTCTAAATCATAAGATATCAACTTGACAAACTAGTAAAATGACCAAAAAGCATGTTTTGAGAAAACTGAGCAAAACAAACAAAACTCATTTATTTACATAACTGCACTTGAAAAAGCTTAATATGCACCGGGCATACAGTCCTTTTGGCTATTAGCCCCCTGTGTGGCGCCTTTCCAGTGATGGTGCATGTTTTCAGTTGCTTGTCGCTTCTTGGCTGATGGTGCCATGCACCCTCCATCCTTTTCAGCCATGCAGCTGCGGTTTTGCCAGCTGGTGTTTAGGCTCAGGTTTGTCGTGATGTCTTCCGATGCCCTTTCGTTGTGTGCATTAAACTTGAGCACTGCTTCTGCCACAGCTGCCTCCACTTCACGTGGAGCAGACGATAGCCAGGAAACTCCATCGATAGGGAGGCAAGCTAAAGTCACATGCGCTAAGTAGCGAATAGGAGGGCGCTCTGATACCTCTTTTTGCCGCGCATTTTTAAGCTGTCAATGGCTGAATCGGGCCTGTTATGGCGGGAGTTTGAAGGCAAAAGACGACTCTCAAATGAGATCAAGATGGTCGCATTGGCATACATGGAAGGGCAGGGGCCCGTCGCAGAAAATGTGCGATTTCAACGTCGATTTAGGCCCAGATTTAGCTGATAGGTGCTGTATAAAGAGCCTTAGTGGCTAAAATAATGATAATATAGGCATGAAATTCACAGTATAAGTGCACAAGTCGCTGTATATTTCAAGAACGCAATAAAAAAAACAAGTTTTTTTCGCGAGTTTTCGGTCTCCACAAGCCATGTCCCCCTTAATTCATTGACTGTACTTGGGGAAATTCATCCAAGATGCTTATGGCTGCTTACGGGGCCGATTGTAAGCATGCAGCTTCACGTTGTGGCATATTATGCGGGAAAACGAAGAAGTCAAGAAATATTTGCACCACATTGTCTCTTAATAAATTAATTGTATAACTGCAATACTCCATTTGTGTACGTCATAATGCATAATCACCAAATCACAGCAGTGCAATGAAATGTTGGCTTCTCATCTAACAAGAACTTGGCAGCTTATTAAAAAAAAAAGAACTGCTAATTAGTAGAACTGCATGCAGAGGTAATGTGCCTATTTCATCCGAGATGTTAAAAAAACAACAACAAAAATGCCAAAGTAGTTTTTATACCAATACAATAAACTCTCCAGCCTCTCTGAGTATTATACAAAATTTCTTGGCAGCATGTTTTTAGTACACACATATAAAACGATTCATGCTATGTATATAGAATCATTGCACATAAAATGTGTGAATGGAAATGCAAAGACAACACTTAAACCATTGTCATCTATTGTGCCTGTGGTAAAAGAAATTGCTGCTTTTTTTAGGATCACACACTGCCCCAGAAAAGTGTCGGAGAGTGTGGCACAGCCTTGGTACCTTCTGCTAGTCAGGTTAGTCCTGCTCTGTTTGAGTACATTGGCACTGCACAAACGTTAGAGTGAAATGTATATCTGTTGCTTAGCATTGCTGCATATTATGTAAAATAACTCAGTAACACCTTTCTTATGCAGCCACACACTGTGCAACAAGCTGATGCCGGATAAGGCAGCTCGATTTCCACAGCTCTCAGCTCCCAGATGAAAAAAAATATTTTGTGTTCTTTGAAACATCACTTGGCACCAGGGAAGTTATCGTAAAAACCAGAAAAATTTATTAATCCTAAGTGTGTTGTTGTTTAAAACAAACACAAGCTCTTTTATAAAAAGTGATTTTAGTACCACGTGGCCACAAAGACAGTGTGATGTATAAAGAATAGTTCATCAAAAGTGCAGGTGTAACATAATATACAGCAGCAGTGGGCTTGGCAGCATGTCAGCAACGCCTCACGTTCACGCGATCCGCTTGCCTTTCGTGCAGTCACTCACCCTGATGTGCCTGCTGACATCCTTCCATGGGCCGCCCTGCGTAGCCGTTGGAGACCCGATGTTCGTGGGCCACCAGCTGCTGCATCTTTCAATTGCGACAGTCTTCGTTCAACGAGATCCTGGCTCCGAAAACGAGCGGCGTGTGCATGATGATCTTCGCAGGCACACCCCTGCCTACGTCATCGCTCAGCTGCCTCATGCCCTTTCCTTCTGTGGATGCTTCACCGCTACGTCGACCACTCTGACGTCACAGCAGCACTATATAAGGCCTGACAAAACGTCACCCGCTTCCAGTGGGCTTGGCAGCATGTCAGCAACGCCTCACGCTCACGCGATCCGCTTGCCTTTCATGCAGGTATCATGTTCATATTCTCTCTTCACCCGCCGTACCCGATACATGGCATTAGTCGTGCTGCCAAGCCCACGGTGTTGCATTGCCATGATTTGTGAGTGTACTCATGTTATTCTTAATCTCTTGCTTCTAGCAGGCGATATTGAGGAAAACCCCGGTCCCACTCAATCCGCTTCATCACAGCCATCTGATGACATAATGTCAGTGCTGAACGCAATTCAGAGCGGACAAGCAACACTCTTAGATGAAATGAAATCAATCCACTTAAAATTATCAGAAAATGACAAAGCTCTCGACGATATAAAGAAAAGACTAGGGGAAATAGAGGGCGTTTGTTCTTCGATCGCCTTAGTCAAAGAACAAATCCATGAAGTTCAAGGCATGGCAGAGCAGAGCACCAAGATGTTTGCAAGTCTGGCTACCAGACTAGACGACTCCGAAGATAGGGCTAGACGCTCAAATCTAGTGTTTTTTGGGCTAAAAGACAATGAACATGAAACATGGGAGCAATCGGAGAAGTTAATAATCGATTTCTGCAGCGCGAGCCTTGAAAGTTCTCTGCAACCAAGAGACATAGAGGGCGCTCACAGAATTGGCCGCTTTCGACCAAATAACAATCGACCCATTATTGTCCGATTTTCCCACTTCAAAGATAAGGAGGGCGTATTATCAAGAAGCGCGCGACTCAAGGGCACCAACTACAAGATTACAGCAGATTTCTCGCCAGCTACTCGCCTTGCCCGCAAAAAGCTAGTCGAATTTGGTAGAACTCAACGCAAGCCTTTCAAGCTCCGTTATGATAAACTTATACTCGACAACACTACTTACCTTTTTGATTCTACTGAGCAGAAGGTCATTCGACAGCCACGGTAGCAATCACATGACTCTTCTCAGCGAGAATTTCCACGCACAGCTCTGTCTTTCGTATATACGAACATAAGAAGTATCCTGCCCAAACGCGACTCACTTTCACACATAACAGATACCACTGACTGCAATTTTATAGTTCTAACCGAAACTTGGCTAAATTCATCCATTTCCGACACCGAACTACAGTGCTGTTTCCCTAATTTTGTAATTTTTCGGCGCGACCGAGAAAATAAACGTGGTGGTGGTGTCATGATGGCCACCAATAACAGTGTTCAGTGCTCCATAGTTGATGTATCCTCTCCCTTAGAAATCTTTTTTGTGCATTGCCAAGTGTCTAATCCACCTGTTGTAATCGGAGTGTGTTACAGCCCACCTGAAGCCGACACGTCTTTCACAAAACATTTCCATGATGCCATTTATTCCGTCACAACTGCATTTCCAAACGCCCCACTTATTTTATTTGGTGACTTCAATTTCCCCAGAATAACATGGTCAAATGTAGCAATAACTGCATCAAAACACAATGCTGAAAGTGACTTCTTAAACTCTTGTTTAACATTCGGCTTATCACAACTTATCTCTAAACCTACTCGACAAACAGAACACTCCTCCAACATTCTAGACCTATTGCTTACGTCTCACCCTGATAATTTTAGTACAGTGTCATATTTATCTGCCATTAGCGATCACTCTGTTCTTCAGACAACCTTTCAGTGCTACTTACCTAATCCCAAGAAAATTAAGAGAACAATCACATTATACGATAAGGGCAACTACAGAGCTATAAACGATGAACTAACAGCTTTCTCTGAATCCTTTCTAAGCGATATTTTTATGAGCACTGTCGAAACAAACTGGCACCTATTTGAAACCAAACTACAGCACCTGATAAAAGTTCACGTTCCAACCGTCACCTTAACCATAAGGTCAACATCCCCATAGTTCAACGCCTCACTAAAACATCTTAAAAATAAAAAGAAGCGCCAGTTTCACTCCGCTAAGCATTCAGACACCCAGTACGCGTGGGACAAATACAAGGCAACTGAAAAGCTTTTCGATTCTCTCGCAGCTAAAGCCAAGCATTCTTTGTATTCTTCTACCTTACCTGATATGCTCCGAAAAAATCTTAAACAATTTTGGAAAACAATTAACCCATCGTCTATTATCCCTTCATCGAACATTACACTACGCGACGAACAAAATGTTTCAATTCCTGAACACTACACTTCGCATGTATTAAATAAAACCTTCTGCTCTGTATTCACCATAGAACCTGACGGTGACCTTCCCCATGCCCTTCCTGTATGCCACCCGATCATGTCGAAATTCGTATTTCATGCCAATGGTATTTCCAAGATAATCGACTCGTTAAAGCTTACTTCATCAATGGGTATAGATGGCATTAACACAAAAATATTGAAGAACACTAAAATTGTAACAAGTGTGATTTTATCTAACATTTTTCAGCAATCACTCTCATCTGGAGTGGTGCCCCAAGACTGGAAGGTAGGCAAGGTCATTCCAATCCCAAAGAAAGGTAACTCGTATTCACCCAAAAACTATCGTCCCATTTCGCTCACAAGTGTATGCTCAAAATAATGGAACACGTAATCTATTCCCACATAGTCAACTTTCTCGCACCTCTTCATTTCTTTCATAAAAACCAACATGGCTTTCAGAAAGGTGTTTCGTGTGACACTCAACTAGCTCTGTTTACTAATGACATTAGCTCTAGCATTGATGTATATATACCAGTAGACGCGCTCTTTTTAGACTTCGAAAAAGCTTTTGACAAAGTTCCTCATAAACGCTTGTTCTTTAAACTTTCTTGTCTCAACCTTGACCCCTTAGTTTTCAATTGGATTTGCGACTTTTTAACTAACCGCCAGCAGTTCGTTTACGCAAATAATCTATCTTCGTCTTTACGCCCCGTCATTTCAGGCGTGCCTCAAGGCACGGTTCTAGGACCTTTGCTTTTTCTCATATATATTAACGACTTGCCGAATAATATTTCTTGTAACATCAGACTTTTCGCCGATGATTGTGTCATTTATCGCCCAATTAACAACACATCAGATGTTCATGAACTTCAATCTGACCTTCATAAAATTGAAATGTGGTGTACAACGTGGTTAATGTCCCTTAACGCAAACAAAACGTCACTAGTCTCTTTCCATCGCCGACAGTGCTACCATCTCCAGCATACTCATTAACAACACTCAAATTTCATGCGTAACTACATACAAGTATCTAGGTGTCCATATTTCTTCTGATTTAACATGGTCCCTTCACATAACGCACATTACTAACGAAGCGAACCGTGCTCTTGGCTGTCTGCGCCGAAACCTTCATCTAGCTCCTACCCCTGTCAAACTACTCGCTTATCAGACACTAATCAGACCAAAACTTGAATACGCATGCGCTGTTTGGGACCCTCATCAGAGTAACAATACTAAAACACTTGAAACAGTGCAAAGCCGGGCAGCAAGATTCATCTTTTCAGATTATTCATATCAGTCAAGCGTAACCGAACTAAAATCTCGTGCTAACCTCGCTACCCTTTCGTCTCACCGCTGTATAGCTCGTCTGTGCCTGTTTTTCAAGTTTTATCATGGATCGCCTCGTACTCCCACCATCAAGCCAGCCCATCATCATTCAGACCGCATCAATCACAGGAAAGCTGTTTACCCACCAAGAGCTCACACCACTGCGCACCTTTCATCCTTCTTTGTCAAGACCGCACAAGATTGGAATGGCCTTCCTCCTCACGTTGCGCACCACTCCAGTATCATCAACTTCAAAGCAGCGATCGAGCATCTACTCCTTTAACCGATTGTAATAGCCCACCCCTCATGTAAAACCCCTTCATTGGGGCCTTTGAGGTACTGTAAATAAATAAATAAATAAAATAAATAAATATGTTTATTTTCACCACCTCATATCCAGACAACCACACGAAAAAAGTGTGCCCAAGGCAACCTTGAGTACAGTGGCAACTCGGAAGACAATGGAATGCCGGTTTGTTGATAAGTTGACTTAAAGATTGAAAAATGTGCGTATGAGGCATAAAATGTACAGTAGCTGTTCAGTTACAGGATTCACACCTAAGCTCCTAAACAAAGAAAACTAGCAGGAAATAATGCATGATGATGAACGATTGGATATGACACCAATCCAAGAAGTTTTGTTCATTTGAGTGTTTCATAACCATCTCAGCTACACAGGTGAACATGACCCTGAAGGTGCTCGTTTCAGCCAATACACAGACAGCAGCTGCCTTCACCACTGAATCTGCAGGGCAGACACAGTGTGGTGCTTCGTCACATGAGCAGCAGTAGCAGCTTCAGCCGATGTTGCTTCAGTGCCACAGCTCCCAGAGGTTTCAGGCCTCTCGGTGGTTAACACCTGTCCGAATGGATAAATCTTCCCCCGCTAAAAAAAGCCAGCTGCTCAAACATCTGTCCAAATAGACGGATCTTTCCCTGCTGAGGAAGAAAAGCCAGGTGCTCAAGTTGACATCGCATACTTGCCTTCATTCAGCAAGAGTTTCTGCAGGTATTACAAGCATTCAGTGATCTTTAACATGTGATAGGCATGTAGTCACAAACTAGTTCGCATACTGAAACCATCACGTGAGGCAGGTATTCCCTGGGGTTGTGTGTGCCCTTTCATGTTTGCAACAAAGGAAGTTAAGCCCCTTAGTTTCCTGAAACATTTCACCTCAGAGTAGTTGTGAGAATTTGTTAGAAGGCAGAGAGATCAGCCTGAGCTAGTTCACTGTAGAGTAGTTCATGACAGTTCACATATCTTTGCCAGAACACAAATGGTCCATTCTGCAGTGCATGCTCATTTTCCCCACCTGTGTTTTAAAACTATACAAATGTGATGAGGCAGTTCCATTTCTGTGAAAAGCCTGCCGAGACACTTTCATGCATTACAAGGCATCCTGCAGATTCTATAGTGATGTACATAAGAGCGTGTACAATTGAATGCAGGCCCGTTGCCAGAAATTTTTCAGGAGTGGGCCACCTGCTGAGGGCCTTTAAAAACCCGTATTTTCATTATTCATGTTCGGTAGAACACACCCCTTCACTCAAATTTCAAGAAGGGTGGGGCAGGCCCCTAGGGCACCCTTAATTCTGGCCATGGGCCTCATTGAGCACCTGTATAAGAGACATGCAGTGGGGAGCAATTGAAGAATTATGCGAATTTTCTTATCAACCTTATTTCAAAGTAGGCACACTGGTTTCTCTTATGCCACTTTGTCTCTTATATGAGTGTATCCTATATAGGAGTTTGACTATATAAGCAGCACTTATAAAGCCTCTTTATTGACATTAGCTAGACAAGAGGATTTCTATGACAACAGCAACGAAGAATGTTGGTACTCACTTGCAATTCATGATGCTTTACATTACATTAGTGTTTTTAGATGTTTCCACAACCTCTAACGAGATGACGGAGAGCATAGGAGACAACGTTTCCCTGCAGTGAGTACACTTAGGCCCAGCGGTAAGATCAGTACAGCACTCACTATGCTGAAACCTATGCCTGACTAGAACAAAGCCCGGTTGAAAGCATAAGACTCATTTCACAAGAAAGCACACTGTGGTTCATGAACACTTTCTTTTACTACAAGCATGTGTTTTCAGATGTTCACCAAATAAGAAGGGGTACACTGACACATGTGTACAACTACATTTTTCGTAGCATCTACAATGGGCTACCACCTACCAAACAGTTTCACAGTGGACACAAAGAAACAGTAAAATGATTTCATGTGACACTATTTACACATTATTTATGTGCTCATACACGAACTTCTTTTGCATAAGACATTGCCAGTTATATTATATAAGACTTCCAAACAATGCTACACTTAGCTCTTGGAGTGACTGTTTTGTGATAGTATACTTGTGCAGTGTTTTTGGCTATTGTTAAAATGAAGTGTGCCAATTACATTTTCTTAGCTCGTTCTGAAGAGATGCACCTAAAGGGTTTCTGCAACGGTTAACTGAGGCTGCGTTAGCATTTCTGCTACAGCACAATGTAATAACAAGCACCATAAATTCAGGTATTCACCTTGCATCATGACTGCTAAAAGCTACAAGCTTTTTAGCGGTGCTTTTCCTCCTGATCCATAGTGCACGATTGAGCTGTAGCTTTTTGTCAACATTATACTTGAATCTTTCACTACAACAACACTACCTTATCGGCCACTTAATTTTCCTCCAGTGCACTTATAATCAGTAAACATTAAGAAGTATTAGGATGAATTAAGTTAATCGAGACCATAAGCAATCAAAAAATGTAGTAGTATTTTTGGAGGTGAAGTAATGGTTCAGGTGAGTTCATGCTTACACCTATTTGATATCCCAGTGCTCACTTTACTGAATGACTTCGGCAACTCCTCTCGAAGGTTGCCTGGCATTAGTTAGCACTGATCACTAGATTTGTTGCAAGGTGAAATGCAAGAAGGACAGACCATGTGGTTCAAGGACACTGAAAAGTCTTACTTTATTCGCGTCAGTCTAAAAAAGAAAAAATAGGAGGCTGTCTCGTATTCAAGAAATAGGGGTCAAAGGAAGCCTTGCTTTGTTGGTTCCGGCTTTTTTTATATAGTTTCTGTCGCATTGTGCAATGCTCCCACATGCTAAGCATCCACATGCTAACCAACAGAACACATGCTACAGACAACATAATGATTGCGGCGAAAACCTCCTTCACAGTTACATTACAATTACTTTATTAACATCCCCTGCACTTTCCTTGTCATAATTGCCAGTCAGTTCTCATTATATTGTCTAACAAAAAAAACACGTCCTTGCATACACCCTATTTTTTCTTTCATAGCAAGGGTCTCGTTCTGGCAGACTTAATGCCATCGGGTAGTATGCCAGGGAATATTAGTCAGCTGCCAGCCGTAAGAACATCACCTGTTGTGTGATGCCTATAGGCAAAAAATGAGTGTCCCACACTTGCTGCAATGACAACAGGCAGTGCTGATTGACACTGCCAAATTTAAATGCACATACATATCCCATAATGATAAAGTGGA